TTTTATTTTATCTTCTAAACCTACCCCCTTCCCATTAGCATTCACTATGTTAGGCATTCCTTTAGACTTTTCGGTGAAGACCGAAACAAAGAAGTCATTAAGCATCTCTGCCATTTCCAAGTTTCCTGTTACTGTTTCTCCCTCCTCAATGAGCAGTGGGCCTACCCTGTCCTTGGTCTTCCTCTTGGTTCTAATGAATTGAAAAAAAGGCCTTCTTGTTTCCCTTTATTCCTATAGCTAGTTTGAGCTCATTTTGTGCCTTTGCCTTTCTAATCTTGCCCCTGCATTCCTGTGTTGTTTGCCTATATTCATCCTTTGTAATTTGTCCTAGTTTCCATTTTTTATATGACTCCTTTTTATTTTTCATACTTGCAACCTTGTGTTATGGCTTCCCCCACCTTTATGCCTTGTTAGAGCCAAAGGGTGAAGTGGGGTGGAGGACTCTGCCATGAAACAATGTTTGTATTTTGAGGGAGGTGGGGACTGGAATACCCTACCATCACCTGCAGCACAATGTGTTTGTGGGTCGGGAGGAATGGAGGTGGATCAAGACTTGGACTGGGGCTCTCCCTTAAGAAGTGGTTTCCTAGGGAAAAGCTCCTGTCCATACAGTTCATTTTAACCAATTTCATCATGTCATTTGATAAAACGGTCACTTTTTCAGCAATGTATTTCCACGGCCACATTCTGCATGCACATGGAGACAGATAATTCCACTTTCCTATATCTTTGTTTGCCTGTAGGCTACTGGAACATCATAGTCCATGGTCGAAAGCACTCATACAGACTCTACACCAAGCTACTGAATGAAGCCATGCGCTGGGCCTCTGCCATCCAAGGAGTCATTGACATCAAGGTTCCCATAGAAACACCCACACAGCAGCTTATTCGTGACATCAGGGTAGGTAGCATTGAACACTGCAGTCAAAGTTCAGGAGAATATTCCAGATCTGCAGCCAGGGGCGCTGGAAGAAGCGGGGCCATGCCCACCTACTTTTTAACATGGATGTAATTTGGGGGCCAAGGGGCTGCGTTACCACCCCAGACTGGAAGCCTTGGGCAGGCACGGAGCAGTGCCAGCAGGGGCTGCACTTCGTGGCGGGGGGGCTTTAGCTCCCCCTCACCATGAGGCCTGGTCCCTCTCCATAGCCCTGCCCTGGCTCCTTCTCTTCTCCCTAAGGCCCCACCCCCTGGTCAAGCCAGAAGCCAGAGCTGGG